ACAACGTTGATATAGAAATCAACCAAAGTTGCTCCCATCCACCTGAACCAAATAAAATTTGGGAAAAATTTGTTTATGGCGAGAGAAAGCAGTGAACTAAAATACAGAAAAAAAGTACAGATTGGATAACCTTTCCCACTGACACTCACAACAAAAAGTAAAATTAAACAAACTCCGTCTAATTCTAAAAAACTAAGATTCATAAATTGATTTTAATTTATCATGAAAAAATAAGTCTATGATGACGTAAGTGAGACTGAATGCAGTAAGAGATAGAGAGAAGTTACGGTGTGAGAAGTTCTTTACGAAACGGAAGACCATCGGTGAAGAGAGTGTAAAGAAGGGTAGCAAGCATGAGAAGTCCCACAACAGTGAAGAGAGTTCTCAAAGCGGTTGCCACTGAAATTTTCGCCATTGAGATTGAGAGAAAGAAGCAATAGCAAATTGCAGTGAAGAAAATTAAGAACAATGATGCAGTTTGTGGTTTATATGTGACCACCAACACAGGCGTGAAGACACAGTAAAGTTATATCAGTTGAATTTGACTCGTGTAATGTGGATGGAAATTTATGAATATTTTAAATTATAAAAATATAATATAATGAATACGGAAGTGTAATGAAAATTGTCTTCGTTGTTAATATTAAAATAAATCTGAAAATTTGAATTTATCTAAGAAAATTCAGGTGATTAGTTATTTGTAAAAGAAAAGTATGAAATAAATAAATATTTAAGCGATTTATTATAGATGAAAATAGGATGTTCAATCCTTAAATTCAATTAACTCAATTTGGTTTTAGCTTAGTGCGTTTACTTTTAGTACATCTATAACAGTTCCAAATTCATAAAATCAAATAAATTAAATAACATATAATAAAAACAATTCTTAATGATGAATAATTATTTTAATATCTAATTTTCTTATTCTGCGTGAGTAATTATAGAAAGTATCGAAACAATAATAGCTTATTCAATAAGTGGCAATATATTTTTTTTTTAGAATAACGATGTTTTCTGATAACATTTTTTTTATAATATTTTAAATCATACGTATCATTTTATTATTGGTTTATTTTTGTGTTTATATTTATTATTATTGATTTGGAATAATTTTGGATAATGTTAAGATATTGTCAAAAAATATTTTCAAAGTATATTTTTTTAATTTTAACATTTTTTCAATTACTTAATTGAATTATCAGTTGAATTAAAATCAGATGTGGTGTCTAAAGCAGTAAACTCAACCCAACTCTGAGAATCACGTAGGTTTGGATTGTGAATAGGAATAAATTCAACATAATTTGGAATTAATTTGTTAGCTAAAATCAATCTCATTTTTTATGTTCATTTTTCGTTCTTATAAATAGCTTTTTTCTTTACTGTTAGTGTTTTTAACGATGGTGGTGTTCGTTTTTCATTACCTTACAAATAGATTTTCCCTTCCTATTAGTATTGTTAATCATAGATCTTTCTAGAAGTTTTTATCACGAGTAATTCAATTTTTATATTGTTGTTTTTATTAAAAAAAAAACTTTTGATAGAAAAACTTTCGATATAGATAATCATCACATTTAAGAATTTTTTTCATATTATATTTGTCTGATCGATTTTAACATTAATATGCATTTTGCTTGAAACTCTTATTAGGAAAAAAATTTATAGAAAAAATCATTATATTATAAATCTTTATTTGTATTGTATTTATTTGAACTGGTTACTAAAAAAACATTATCAACTTTATCAATAATGTTGAGAATGTTTTATTAGAGAAATTAAACAGAAATTTCACACAAACTCAAATAACTTCAAACTCTATTGCGTTTCATTTTCTTTTATAACTCTCAATAGAGGTGTCAATTTAATCCATGGTCCCAGGCCAACTCAACCCATTATTGAAAAAGTCCAATTTTAAGAAGCTCCTCAAGTAGAGGGTAAAAAAAAAAGCATCAATCCCTAAAACTCCCTCTCAAGTGGGTTAGGATCAGAGTTAAAGTGGGTTCCTCACTGCATAACTTTAACTAAATTTTAGAAACAATATAATTTATATATACATAATTTATTGTAATTTTGTTCTCTCTCTTATATATTATATTATATATATTAAATATTGATATAAAAAATGAGGTTTTATGTAATAAACTTGTTGATATAAAAAATTAATATTGAAAATTTACATTTTAATCTTATAAACAGTCAGTACAGAAATATGTTAATTAATTATAAAAAATTCATTTAATGTCTATCAGTTTTTCATTAATAATTTTTAGTTTATTCTTACATTTTTACTTATTTCTAAACTACTCATACAACATGTTCTATTGGTGGTATTCTTTGACTAACGTGAATACTTATATATATACCTATAAAATAGAGAAGTAAATTTTTTTCATAAATTAAAATTAGCTTAAACGTTATTACATTATTAAATATATATTTTAATTAAAATAATTATCTTATTAATTTCGTTCGGTTGGTAATATTTTGTAAATTAAATGTTATTATTTATTTAATTATTTCTAAAACTTACTATTTTTTGATAAACTAAAATAATTATTTATAACAAAAAATTATTTACAAAATTAATAAAAATTATTTATATTCATTACAATATGAGTTTCATGGATGATAGATATAATTATTTTCTATAAATACATTTTTCTTATAGTAAATGATAAGTTGTAATTCAAATAAAGATCTCTAATATGAATTTGATGATTTCTAGTCTTAATTTGGCTTGTACAAATGCTTTTTTTATTTGCTTTGCTAATGATATAAGATAATTCTTATGACAATTTTTTTTTCTCGCAAAATATAAAATAAATTGAAAGAATTTAATTAGTAGTTACTTAAATTATTGGAGTTTTCTATTCATTTGCCTTTCAACATGAGTTTTCTTTGAATTTCTGTTTTTTTACGTTATCTTTCTTTATTCCTATTTCTTTGTCTTTCAAGGAGGACTAAAATGTACCTTACTTTGAAAAAGAGACTAAAAACAAATTCGCTTGATAGTTTAGGGACTAAAAACATATTTAACCCTTAATTATTTGTTTAACTTTTGCCAGAAGAAATCTAGATTATTATAGGTGTGAAGCAGTGTATGTGGAAAAATGGAATTGTTGTCGAAGATTAGAACTTCTAAAAAAATGAAATATTAAATCATAATTTAAATTCAATATATAGTTTATATATTGAATTTAAATTAGGTAATTTTGGTCTATCAAATATAATTAGATCAGTTTTAGAAATTATAACACTTATTGCAACAAATTAGAATTAATTACACTTTTCTTGTATTTAAAATGAAAAAAATTCTAAAAAAAAGACTTATGTGTAGGCCATAACCCACAGGATTTTTATAGATATTTTGGTCCTATGGACTTTTTCTATGAAGGACTTTTTGCCCCTGTGAGCTTTTCTGACTCCAACCCACGTAAATCAAAACCAAACCATATTAGAGGAGCCAAATTCACGAGTCTAACTTTGAAGTTCTTTTCTCTCTCATATCTTAAATCTTTTTCAATTACTTATAGCTTCAAACTCCTTCAATCTTAAATTTTGATAAAAGTCACATAAAAAATATATATTTTAAATATATCAAAATTAATATACCTAACTATATAAAAACAATAAAAATTGTATACTATACAGCGGGTCATATAATTAATCAAAATAGGATAAACGTAATATCATTACTGAGAATTCATATTCAGAATATGCGTCTTGATCTAATGGCTAATATTTTTAATATATTTGGAATCACTAAAAACAGAAATAAATTAATTTGACTATATTTACTTTTAAAACGAAATAAATTTATAATCTTTAATAAAATATATTATCTGCATATTAAACTTGATAACTATAAAATTATATTAAAACACGTTTTCTATTACATGTACCATTTTGAGTGAGAATTTCTTATGACATATTTATCAAACTTCAAGTTTAGTTAATTATTTTTATCCTCGAGAACTTCGTTCAAGATAGTTCAACTTTTCTTATGCAACATAAAATTTAAATTACGAAATAGATTTAATATGAGAGTGATTTTAACATTTGTTGGATGATATAGTTATTATTTATGTCTTACAAATAGTGTTTGAATAGAGTTACAAATTGTTATTAATTTTTTATATATTTTTCTAATTTTCCGGAAATATAGTTAGAAAAACATTGTCAATTTACCACATAAAAAAAAAAGTTTTACTGAAAAAAAAGTGATTTTCAATAAGTTATTTAATGTAATAATGAATTAAAAAAGTTGTTTCAATAAGTTGGTGAAAATAGTTGTTTTTACCTTCTAAATAACGTGTATGGATATTTTAGTAATATTTTTACCAACGCGACAAAATTGAAAAAACATATGAACTCCATTGACAAGAAGAGTACACGTGATAATCCTTGCTAAATTATGCTTCAAGTGTCTAAGTCTCGGGAAAACACGCCATCTCATTCCTTTAAACCACTTTTTCACCAAATTTTGTTCTATGTATCTCATGTTCTGGTTAGGTAGGAAAGCAAGTTACTGTTATCTTATCCCCCTAGAACTGTTGGGTAATAATACTGGGTGTTGTCATCAAGCATTTTTGGTACAAGTGGATCTTTTAGATATGATCTAAAATAAAATTTTTAAAACTGCAGTGACCCTATTGAGTGTTACTGTTTTAATCTGATCATCTGTTGCTTTTTTTCAAATACAGACTCCGACCATTAAAATCTCTTCAAACAACTTACTCCTCTACCACCATTGTGCCGCTGTGGTGTTCCTCTCTGTTCCCCCGACCAAAGATCACCTCTGCCATGTCATGTGTCAACCATGTTCGACCTTCCGAACATAGCAAATTCTAAGCGTAATGGTAAGGGTGGAGATTAAATAATGCATGTTAATAACAAACATCGTATGCTCCAAACACAAGCCCGTTTTGCAAAGGAAACAAAAGCCACATCATTCAAACACAGTATAGACATTCGGAGGTCCATGCCACATCTCAATTTGACAATGAACGGGAAAAAAAAAGTTCAAAAATTATTTAAACATTCCATGGTTCATGCCGCATCTAGCAGGCTATAGTTTATCAACTGAACATGGTTTACCTGCAAGTGCAACACTCTGAAGCTCGTCCTTCCTAAAACAGGACTACAATAAATGATACAATGTATCAAAATGGCAACCTCAAGGTACACAGTTTACTCTCACAATCAAGGCATACAGTATGCACTGAATGACCAAAAAGAATTTGAAGAGTTTGAACTACAGCAACAAGGGGAGTTCAGAAAATTATTCAGTATCTCCATATCAGCATGCACATCCACTCCTCTGTTCATTTTCTGGAACTGCTGCCTCAGGAATCCCTTGAAAATATCTGCAATTGAAATTGAAATAAAATAGTTCGGAAATCAGTTAACAGCTATCTCCCAATAAATCAATCTGGAAATAAAAAAATGCCAAACAGAATATGGCATGGGACTCCAAAGAAGGATTAATATGCATATTCAAAATAGCCAATGAAGCGATGTAAAAAATAGAAAACGTAACTATGTTTTATGGGATCAGGAAAAGTGCATAAAAAAGTGGGTGGTGATATCTATCAGCAGATGCGAAGGAGGCTTTCTCACACTGGCTCTCACCACCGCTACCATCCCTGTTCCAACCTTGTAGTTCGGGAAATGGTCTAACAGTACAAAGCTTCCTTTCCATTATCCCCCAAAACAGAAACAATGCAGTAAGATATTCATCAACTTGTGTTAATATTTATATACTCGACCTCCTTGGCTAACAGTACTAGGCACTTTGCATGTATATATACATACTTACATGCCTTTTCCCTATAGTTAAAAATTATGAATATCACACTAAACTAAAGACTGTTGTTTTCGTTTTTCAAAATGGAAAAGCTAAATACATAAACAGGATGTGTAATATTGAGGAGCAAACTCCAACTATCTCCTACCCCTTTGTTCTATATGATTTTCATTTCAAACTGAATAAAAATATATATAACACTGACAATAACTCACAATCTATATAAAAGAAAATATTACTATAAGAATAAAGTTAAAAGCAGAATGTCATGCCCAAACATTCATAACATCTCATAAGAATACGGTTTTTTTAAGCATAATAAACTATTAGCTACAAAAGAAATATGTGAGAAATTCATATTTTTAACCAGACAAAGAAATCATGGAGCAGGAAAATGTTTGAAGACTCTCTACTAGACATTAAGACTCCATAAAAGACCTGATAATTTGGACAATCTATTTATCACAACATTAAAAATCTGTTTGCTTCAATAACTGAACATCGAACTCAAAATTGCATCTAGTAAATTGAACATCAAACTTCCTCAAGTATTAATTGAATTTAACATTTATTGACAATGGAAATTTGAACACCAAAAGAAGCTTTATTGAAATGAGTATCATTTCCATAGCAACAAGATAATTTCTTAGTTTAATTGTGCCTACGGCATTGATACAAAGTATTGTTAGTATGTTGGAAATGAACCAGTCATGATAGGTTAATATCAAGCGACAGCAGTGTGTCATCAAGATAAGTGAAAGGGATCAAATATTGACCGTTGGACATTATATGAACTGTCAAAGTTATAAGTTTACAACTTAAGGGTCAAATGTTCACGAGAAAAAGTTGCATGACTTTAACTTCTGATCTTAACCGCACATGTTCTTTTCCTAAAAACAATTTCGGAACAGAAGACCATGGCGGGATATAAATGGTGACCTGATTAGCTGCAATAAAAAATAGAGCCACCAAGAACATTTGGCTCCTATAAATGATTATCAAACAAGTATTGCATTTTTACATCTTGAAAGTGGAACATCTATCTTAAGCATCAACAGAACTGAACATTTACTTTATTTGTTTCAGAATCTTCATAACTTTTTATCGGTATTGACATTTGACAGCAGGTTTTAGGTTGCTTCTGCTTTAGATGAATCCTAGCATTTTCTTCATTGCGTTTTATCTTGAACAACTTCACTACCATTTTTTTGTAATAAGAGTCTTCCTCACAATTACTTTCTCTCTGAACACTAGACACATATGATTTGAATGAAAATTTACTGAAGATCATTGGGTTTTTTTCACAATAGCTATCATTCCATAAATGGGTTTCATGTCTTGAAATTAGTAATATCAATGACGTCAATGCTTCAATGAATACTTTGAATCTGTTCATCAACCTTTGTTTTTCAACCTCACCTTTTCTTCCAAACTCCAAAAATTTCAAAGTGGTGGTATATTACAATTTTTCATAGCTTTCACTAGAGACGGCAAAAACATGATGGAACCAACAAGTCAACTCATTTAATGCACCTTTTCTACCCCAGATTTGGAGGAAGGTGAAAACTCGTAACTTGGAACACAAGATGCTATGATTTGACCTAAAATGCAAAATTACACTTATATATAATATATATGAATAAAAACAACATAATTTGAGAACATTACCTCTACATCACAATATTTAAAACAAATTTAAATTGAAAAATCGTAATCATAATGTCATAATATCCAGATATATATTAATAATGTCATAATGTTCTAACAGTATAATCATAATGTCAAGTTAACCTATGTGGGTGACTCATCAATACAAAGGCAATACTTCTCATAATGCTCAAACACTTCTTCTCCTAGTTTCGTTTCCCAATACAAAGGCAATACAAGTTGATAGTTTAAGATGCAACTATATAGTTGCATGAATAAGATGCAGTTATTGGTTCACAAATTAAGAGTGCAAAAGAAAATGGGTAAAGGTCAAAAGCATTGAATTTTTCTATCCATTATTTCTACTAGTTTCAATACTACTACTTCAATATAAAATTTTCAATTAAAAAAAAGAAAAATGACATAATCTACTTTCAATTAGTATGATACACACAAGAAGAAATGTCATTGTCTTTAGCCAATTCCTTAACAAAGAATCTGCAACTAGAAGAGAATATCAAAGAGAACTAAGAATAAAAAAGATTATCAAGAGAAACGGCTTCCATTGCATATGCCAACAATGGAGGAGTTTGGACATTGCAGAAGCTATGCACAATAATAGCAACTCAAAACATGTCATCAACATGGAAGTTGTTGTGAAAAACTGAAATTCTAAAAGAGAAAGCCTTAGATGGAGATATTCTTTCCGATGCTCTAGGTTTTAATGTGGCTAATCAATTTCTCATGAGATCATTTATTGCCTTTAATGAACACAACCTTTTAAAGAAAATGGATGAGTTTAGATATTGCCTGCATCAATGCCAAAAGCAAATCTAAGATGTAGTCTTGTGATTGCCCATGAGCAATTAGGATTGACTTGTACAAATACAAGCCACTAATGTTTGGAAGAAGGGAGCAGATTTGGGAATTTCTTTATAAGAAAAAGTAATAAAATTCACATTAAATAAAGAACTTAGGCCAAAAACAGAAATATGAGACATGAAACGCATACCAGTGAACCATTTTCTATTTCTATCACTTCATTGACATTCCAACAGTGATAGTATGTAAATATGCCTTAATGCATAGTAATTGTATATTAAATCTTAAACTGCAAGTGGTACTAACATCATTGACAATAGTTGGTACATGTCCGGTACAGTTATATAGTAGTACAACCTATATTCATGTGTATCTGCATAACAATCGAGAATGAAACATACATGTCTTGTTCGTGCTCATTGGCAAGAGCAGCCTTGGCAATACACAGGAATGCAGCATCAACATTGAAATCTTCTTTTGCGGATGTTTCAAAATAGGGAATATTCCCTTTTGAAGCACACCAATCCTTTGCTTTCTTCTCAGAAACCTGCATGTGAGATAAAAAAACATTTTACACTCAGAGATAAAGTGAGAAAATGTCAAAGTGTAATAATATTTGCCTACCACTCGACTATTCCCGCCATCAATATCAATCTTGTTTCCAAGCAAAATAAATGGAAATGACCTTGGATCGGGTGGGTTTGCCTGCATCACAAAGATACAACGAGAACATAAATCTGAACAGAAAGCTTATCCAGCAAATTCCAACATTGGTAGGTTATAAATTAGGGTTAGACAATCTGTGAATGTTATGAGGACACACTAGCTAATAGATGCATTTGTCCATGTGAAAAAACACCACACCCTAGACAATAGTCGAAGCAGCAAGAGATAAAGCATTTTGAAAAGGACAATAATTACCTGTTTGAGAAACTCTCATGCCAGTTGTCAAGGGTATCGAAAGATTTCATCACATTAACATCATACGCAAGAACACAGCAATCCGCGCCTCTATAAAATGCAACCCCGAGACTTTGGAATCTCTCTTGCCCAGCAGTATCCCATATCTATCAATCAGACACAGAAAATAAACACATTGGAACACAACACAATCTTCACTACAAGCCTAAAACAGAAAAATTCAAAAGAACACTGAAATACCGTTGGAATAGGAAACGAAACCCACTTGTAGAGTGACAAGTCTGTCGTCAATCTGAAGCTCTTTAGTGACAAAATCAGCACCAATGGTAGCTTTGTATTGCTGACTAAACTTCTTGTGCACGTATCTAGACAGTTAGTTAAGGTCCACACAGCTAAATTCCAAAAAAAAAAATTAAGGGACGTAAAGAATTGTCAATAACTATAAAAAATATCATCAAAATAACCAAAAACACAAATCTGATAAACTTTACAGATGCACTGGCTATGATTACAATTACAATTATAATAAATCATTGTAAACCAAAGTGAATCCGAAAAGCGGTGAAAAAACTGCGACACGCGGCGCGTGAGGATACTGATTCATCAACGAGGTCTTTCCCACTCTGGCAATGGCAAAAAACGAATCAGATAAAGCGTTTTCAAAAGCGGTGTTGCGGGAAAAACACCAAGAACGTACCCGCTATCGCCGAGAACAATGACCTTGAGCAAGGTTCGCCTGCGCAACGACATAGCTGCTTACGGTGGGGGCGCAACGCACTCGATTGTTCCTTCCTTCGCTTCTTTATCGAGGGATTTGATTTAGAGGTCAACTACGAGCACAAAAGGGGAAAACAAACGCCATTTTCGATCGCTTTCTGCACTGTTCTTGTACTAGACAGATTTCGCCAAAAACAAAAAAAAAAAAGGAAAAAGGGAAAAAAGGGAAAATTAATTTTCCTTCAATGAATAAATTTCATGGACTAAAAAAATAACCGAAATAAAGTTTCTTCCTTACAGGATATTGGTATATCTCTCTTTATGTGGATGTTTAAAATTTAACTACGACAAGTTAATTATGGAATTTTTCTTATGGAAAGTTAATATATGGGGTGTCCTAAATTAAATTAAATAGATTAAAAAGGTAATTAAGTGAAAAATAATTCAAGTATAATTATAAGAGAGGTGTTGCGAGATAAAGTTACGAAGCGTGCATGAATGATGGCACATTGTGGGTGATCTATCAGATCCAATAATATCGCCCTGAGTTGTTTGGGAGAGAGAAGAAAAGGTATCATCAAAATACGATACACCTAGAAGATTACATCCTAATTATTTACGTCAGAATTGAAATGGACTATTCAATCAAAAAATAATTAACAAATCCAGTATTTCAATTATTAAAATTACAAAATCGACTTCTCATTGAATTGATAAATCGGTGTAAATATTATTAAAAGCCACTTAAAAGTTATTTATAAATTTAAAAATTTATAAACATTAATATTTTCTTTAAAGTAAAAAATATATATTTTTTTATTGTTATATAGTACTGGACCTTCATGATGAGGTGAGTATAAAACAACATCGTCGTGGGCAAGCACACAAAACACATTATTATGCTAAGACAGCTTAAATAAAATTAATCAAGGATTAGCATATATAAGACTTAATCAACCAATGTCGATCCACGTAAGCCTTATTAACGTAAGTCACATTTCACAATATACACATGGTTCATTGATTATTATTCTATTTACAGTGTCCTGCGATACGTTTTGCTAATTTAACTTTGAAATGTTTTACAAACACTCTTAGTATCTTAACTTGAGGAGGACGAGTATCAAAAATGGTATTATCTTGGTTTTGAAACTAAGGATTACGAAAATAAATATATCATAAGTACATATTGACCCTCATAGAACAATTATATTTAATATATATATATATATATATATATATATATATATATATTAAAAAGTATAGTAAGTAATGATTGATATTAATAAAGAAGGAAGAGAAATATTTAGTCTCACAAATTTCATATTTGAAATATTTCTCTGTGGGTAAAAAAAAGTGTATAAGATTTCACATTTAGTAGTAATACAATCAAATTAAGTTATATCAATAGAAGACATATTTCTCTTAAATTTAACTTTGAGATTAAATTAGACAGAAGCCCAAATGTTAAAACAAAGTACATAGTATTTAAAGACAGCTGCTGAAGTTAACGTTAGTTACAAAATTGTGAGACAGTGTTCTCTATTTTAATAGTTGAAGACACCACTTGATAAATTGATGCTTTAAGCCCATAATTAAAAAGGATTTAAACAACTATCATGATTTTTGTATCATTGAATACGTCTTAGAAAAACACGTAACCATATTTGGAATGTCCTGTTTGAAATGGTTGGCGGCAGTAGCATTAATATGTTCAACAGAAGGAAGCAGAATAAGAATCAAGAAATACCATTCCAGAGAAAAATTCTTGCCATATCCAAGGCAAAAACAGTTGATTGGTTGGTTTGGTGTTTGTCCCTATCCTTCGAAGCTTCATTATCGATGACCAGTTAACCATGACAATGATCACCATCATGATCATGAACACAAACATATAACCATACATTTGACGACAACAACAACAAGGAATGTGTGTTTGTGTGTAGAGTGGTTACAATGGCAGTGCAGTATGAGTGCTGTGATGTGGAGTTTTCAAAACGCGTATTGATAATTGTGCTGCTCGTGATATTCGCTGGATTGATGTCAGGGCTCACTTTAGGCCTCATGTCATTGAGTCTCGTTGATCTTGAGGTCCTTGCAAAGTCTGGAACCCCTCACGATCGCAACAATGCTGGTGAAATTTCTCTCCTTGCCTTATGGAAACTCACCATAACGTATATTTTCTTACAATATTGGGATAAGTTTGTTTTTTTATAACTCCGATTGTTTGAACTTGTGTTTTGTCATAACAGCAAGGATATTGCCTGTTGTCAGGAATCAACATTTGTTGCTTTGCACACTCCTAATTTGCAATGCGGTAGCCATGGAGGTAAAACTAAAATCATGTGTTAGTGTCTGCTTAATCACATGAATACACAGAAAGATCCAGCCAATTTTGGATAATGGTGTTGGTTTTGACAGGCCCTTCCAGTTTTTCTGGATAGTCTTGTTGTTTGGTGGGGTGCTATACTGATTGCGGTGACATTAATCCTTCTGTTCGGTGAGGTGAGAATTTTTTTCTGATATATGTTAAATTAAATGCAATGCATACATATCACAGGTTAAAAACTAAGGAGATCGCTTCCTTTTTGACACAATGTGTCTCTGAAAGTCAGAAGCTCATCCTCAAGACTTTCTACTGGCACATTCAATCTGCTTAATGATACCTTCGGTAGTGATTGCAGTCCTAACACTGCTTGGTTGCATCAGCGCATATCTTTACTCAATATATTGTAGGAATTATTGGCATGCAGATAATCAACTTGCTACGTAACATTCTCTAACATCTGCTTACTTTTGAGAAGATTATACCTCAATCAATTTGTTCTCGCCATGGTTTAGCAATTGGTGCAACAGTGGCTCCAGCTGTTCGAGTTCTTGTATGGATATGTTTTCCTGTTGCTTATCCAATTAGTAAGGTGACACAAATTAAGCAGACTTTTTATTGATACTTCTTCAGTTTTATTTCAGTAACCAGGGACGAATTTGATTTGTTATCCATAGACTTTCTTTTCCTTCTTGACCTTTTTTACATTCATTTGGTACCCCAGTTGCTGGACTTTTTGCTGGGGCATCGACATGAAGCCCTTTTCCACAGAGCTGAGTTGAAGACACTTGTAAATCTGCATGGCCATGAGGTCTGTATCAGAGCTACATGATGCTTGAGGCATGCATTTATAAGTTATAAGTCTGTTTGTTCATTTTCTCTTGAAATTGAAGACTAGTCTTCAGTGCTCTTCATCTAATTCAACAGTATGCTGCAGTTCTCAACCATTTCTTTTCCAATCTGAATAATGTAACTGCGGGTTATCTTCTTCTCTTCTAGTTGCTTAGACTCCATTTGAACACTCATGATGCTTTGTGTTAGGCTGGAAAAGGTGGGGAACTGACACATCATGAAACAACGATCATTGCTGGAGCACTGGAACTCTCTGAGAAGATAGCCAGTGATGTCATGACTCTCATAACCGAAACATTTTGTGTTGACATTAATTTAAAGCTTGACAGGTAGGGACAAAAGGTGTCTCAAAAAATTATCAATGTGAGTTCTAGCTTTTGTACTTTTTACAATTTTCCGTAATCAAGGGTTATTGTTACAGGTATCTGATGAATCTGATAATGGAGAATGGGCATAGCAGAGTCCCAGTCTATTATGAGCAGCCCACTAATATTATTGGACTTATCCTGGTATGCATGCAGTCTGTTGTTCTTCTTTAACCTATCGATAAAATCTATTTTGCATTGACAGTGTAAATCCACATAATAGTTTTGCATCAATTTCATTGAGATTCAACTTGTATATCAACTTATTTATCATTTTACATTAAGTTTGTTTTTAACTCTAAGCAGATACACTATGGACTTTCAGGTCAAGAATTTATTGACAATTGACCCAGAAGATGAAGCACCAGTGAAAAGTGTGACCTTGCGAAGAATTCCAAGGTATTTTTGTTTTAAGTTTGGCAAATTTACTGTAACTTGAAAAACATAAGCACTAAAATTAATGGCATTATATTACATTAAAATACGTTCATATCTGAAGTTTACATGATTAGCAGGGTTCCAGAATCGATGCCACTGTATGATATTTTGAATGAGTTCCAAAAGGGTCATAGCCACATGGCCGTCGTCGTTAAAAACTGNAATATATATAATATATATATATATATATATATATATATATATATATATATATATATATATATATATATATTCGTCTTAATAAAAATAGTTCTCTCTTTTTTATGATCAATATATCACTCAAATAACTCATTATAAGTTTGACTAAGATAAACTGAAAAATAAGTTATGTTTTATTTAAATTCGTAGCTTGTGGACAATTTGTTGATAAAATATTTAAGTGAAATAATTTCTCATAATATTATGTTTTTGTTTAGTATGTTTTTGGAATAATATTGTTAAGTAATAACATCTCACTCATTATAGTATATTAAGTGATTTGATTTTGAGATATATATGGTAAATGTTAAAGATGTAAGAGTGAGTCGATGTAATTCATTAGGATTGGCTCACCACAAAATATTTAACTTAACCTGTTTATTTTTGGTAAATCAAAAATTTTGTAATTGAGCTGGATCCACTTGTTAGTTGATTGGTAAAACGGTGTGAATTAATGGATTGACCGAATATTTTGTTTTTTCAATTTATTTTATATATTTCGTTACATTAAAATTAAAGTTTTCACCTAATTTTTTAAATAATATAAAGATAAATTAAAATATCAATATATATAAATTGATAAACAAAAAAGTTTAAACATAAAAAACTATTCAAATATTATTGAATAATATTTGAGTACTTGAAATAATCAAATTGTAAACTTATATGATTAGAAGTAATAAATAATTTTAATAAAAAATAATAAATAAAAATACTAATAAAACAAAGTATTGTTGTTGATAAGTTATTGATAAATCTCTACATTCAATCTGACTTAAACTCATTTAATCTTCATTTAATCTTTAAGTTAAGTAAGTCAAACTACCTTAACCCACATAAAAAATTAATTATTTTTCAACCAACTCAACTCAAACTTATGATAAGTGGATGGTTTGCAAATTAAAACTCATTTTAAAAGGTTTAGTTAATGTTGAGTTAAAGATTTATTAACTGTAGTTTTATTAAAAGCAACATCATATAAATGATTAAATCAAGCAATAAAAAATTAATTAAAAAAATTGTTATATAGTTAAATGATGTGTGTTTTTTAATACACTTTATAAACCCAATAATGAATTACACATATCTAACTAATTTTGCCATAATAAAAAAGTGATAAATTTAATATTATATTAGAAAAGCGAATTTTAAGTTTAATACAGTCTAAAGAACATTCAGTGCTCATATCCAATACGTCCATTATAAGAATAAAGAAAAACCAATCAGTTAATAAACTTTTATCACGTCTCAAAATATTATTCTTATCTTAATAGATTTAAATTTAAGTTTAAACAAAAGTCACAAAATCATCTTAATATAAAATATGTATCTTTCTTATATTATGATTTTTGTCATATATTACTAAGGATATGTGAAATCATATTAATGACACATTATATATTGTATTAATAAAATTAAGATGGCGATCAGGTATTCAATCAAACTCTCTCACATTAAAAGTCCTGATTTATGTAAAATAAATTTAAAATATAAAAATTAAATATTCAATTAGACATTTTCACATTAGAATATAATAAATTTACATTAAAATCTGAATGAGATAAACTCATAAAATGAAAAAAAAAAACGTGCTTAAAAGACAAAATAATTAGGAAATAATTAGAATTTCAAAACATAAAGTCGTTTTTAGTGGTAAGTTTTAACTATACGAGGTTATGCAATCCTTGTCTAGTTAATGGCATTTCTATGAAAATAATATGCAGAACTTTAAACAAGATTGAATATTTATTTAAAAGGTTTTGGAACATGGTAAAACATTTCATTGAAAATCTTATATCGATATTATTTTATCAATTAGTGTAATATAAAGAATAATTGATATTTTTCAACTACTTTTAAAAGAATTCACCATACAAATTAAAGTATTACAATACAAATACAGAAATTAAAACATAAATTATATTATAATTAATATAAAAACATTTCAATAACAATTTTCAAATAATATGTATAATATAAACTAGGTATGTAGGCAAATCGATGGTGTAAGACTCAAAGAATAAATATGGTCTTAAAAATAAAGTTTGATTATTTTATTGTCTCTCTAATATTATTTGTTTTTCTTTCACTTTTTCTTAAAATTACGGTGATCTACCACATTGTTTGATGATAAGAGAATATCATAGAACTTACGGTGTTGAGATTATAATTTTATTCGATTAATTTTTTAAGCAAAGTTAATATTTTGTCATTTTTTATGTGTAACATTTAAAGACTCA